CTCCCTCCCACCCTCCCTATCCCACCCCTCTAGGTGGTCACAAAGCACCGAGCTGATCTCCCTGTGCTATGCGGCTGCTTCCCACTAGCTATCTGTTTTACGTTTGGTAGCGTATATATGTCCATGCCCCTCTCTCACGTTGTCCCAGCTTACCCTTCCCCCTCCCCTTATCCTCAAGCCCATTCTCTAGTAGGTCTGTGTCTTTATTCCCATCTTACCCCTAGGTTCTTCATGATCTTTTTTTTTCCCTTAGATTCCATATATATGTGTTAGCATATGGTATTTGTTTTTCTCTTTCTGACTTACTTCACTCTGTAGGACAGACTCTAGGTCCATCCACCTCACTACAAATAGTCTTACTGATGGCTAGGAGATGGCCCTGCATCCCGTGAGCCACCCTGAGAAGCCTTGTCCCCGCCTTGGGAGAGTTCCCGGTGGGCTGAACGCCCACGCGGCTAAAACCCAGCCAACCTCGCTGTGGCTTTGGCTGTCTTTGAGGCTGGGAGGCTCTGTAGAAGAGTTATTCCCATTTCAGTGATGAGAAAACCGAGGCACAGAAAGGTTAACTCACTTGGCCAGGGTCACACAGCTCTTGGGGAATGAGGCCCGTATTCAACCCCGGTTGTGGGCGGCCGTTGAGCCCCAAGAGGGTCCCCGCTGGGCAGTGCTGCCTCCAGTGGGGCCACGATGCTTCCCCAACTACCTGGGCCTTTCATGTCTGCAGCCTCTCTTTTTTCCTCATAAGCCCCTGAGATATGAGGGAAAGTATTACCAGCAGTGTTTCCAGGAGCAGTGGGATTAAGGCATTTGAGGTTGTTAGTCTATCCCAAAGGACCCTCGTCTGAACCCCAGGCGTTAGATTTCAGAATTAGCTCTACCCACGTTTTCTTTTTTTTTAAATAGCAGTTTTTTAAAACGTTCTTAATTTTATTTATTTATTTATTTATTTATTTGGCTCCGTTGGGTTTTCGTTAATGTGCGCAGGCTTTCTCTAGTTGCGGTGAGCAGGGGCTGCTCTTCATGGCGGTGCTCGGGCTTCTCATTGTGGTGGCCTCTCTTGTTGCGGAGCATGGGCTCTAGGCGCAAGAGCTTCAGTAGTTGTGGCTTGCGGGCTCTAGAGCGCAGGCTCAGTAGTTGCGGCGCACAGGCTTGGTTGCTCCGCGGCATGTGGGATCTTCCCGGACCAGGGCTCGAACCCGTGTCCCCTGCGTTGGCAGGCGGATGCTTACGTTTTTTTGTTGTGGTGACACCCAGCACAGCTTCCCTTTCCCTCCTGCAAGGAAAAGCTATGGGTCCATTGCTCATAGAATTCTGGGGCATCACGGCTGTAGGTTCCTGCTGGTTATGCCGCCCAGCCCCCCTCACTTTTACAGGTGGGGAAGCCAGGAGCCCAGTCCCTGGATCCTCGGCACACCCTTCTTTGCTCTGCCTCAGCCTCCCAGATCCTCCCTCCAGAAGGAGATGAGCCCAAGAGCTGCTGAGTTCCACATGTTGGGACAGAGTGGCTGTCCAGGTGCCAGGGGCCCAACCACATGAGGCCGGCAGTCCTGTCCCCAAGAAGGGTACAGTCTTTTTTTTTTTTCTTTTGCCTCGCCACTTGCGGGATCGTAGTTCCGCCCCCCCTCCCCCCGCCCCCGACCAGGGATTGAACCCGGGCCTTCAGCAGTGTGAGCGCGGGGTCCTAACCACTGGACCACCAGGGAATTCCCAGGGTGCAGTCTTACTTTTAAAACAGAACCTCAAGTTAACTTATGAGACCTGATTACCTGAGGGCAACCCCCAGGAATGGTCCGGGAACAGCTGGTGAGCTGGACGCTTTGTAGACTTTTGATTCTAATCCTACTTCCTCCCTGTTCCAAGGCCCCATCATCTCTTGCCCAGGTGCTCCCCGCTGGTACGGGTGTGCATCTGTGGGTGGCACAGAAAGCTGAGGGCACCTTGGCCTCGCATGTTCTCTTCCACTCTTCACCTCGGCACGGCAGCCCCACCCCGCTTCTTTCTGCTTGAAGGAGCCTCCCCACTGGTCTCCTTGCTCTGTACAACCTTTTAAAATACATCATGTCATTCCTGGCTTTCTGATGTGTTCCATTCCCTTGTTCCAGCCCTTCCTGAGTCCTGCCCTTGGCTTGGTAAGGCACCCTTGTATCCTAATCATAGATTTCCCTTTTTTGCTTAGACTGACCAGATTTGATTTCTGTTACTGGCCACCATCCCTCCTGAGGCCTGTTTTTAACTATTGTTCTTGGCTTTGGTAAGGTACCCCCGTAATTTTATCCTTTTCGTGTAAACTAAAAATTCCACACATCATGTCACTTTTCTGCTTACAGCTGGCCAGTGGCTGCCATAGCACTCGGAGTTGCAGCCACAGTCCTTCCCGGGGCCCAGGGTGCGCTCTGCACCCCCTCCCCCTGCTGGCTCCTATCCTGTCTCCCAGGCTCACTGCTCTTCCTTGCACAAGCTGATCATATTCCCAGCTGTTCCCTCTGCCTGGGACACGCTAGCCGCAGGACTCTTCAGGGCTGGCCCTTCATTTCGTTCAGGCTCTGCTCAAATGCCCCCTCCTCAGGAAGGCCTTCTCTGACCACCGGGTCTAATATTGACACCCGCACACCCTCCGGGCCTGGCACTTAGTGCTCTCGGGCTCTGCCCCACAGGCTCCTGGAGCAGACACCCTGTCCGTTTTGTTCCCCGATCTCCCCAGTTCCTAGCACAGTGCCTGGTACACAGTAGGCTCTCAGTAGAGACTTGGGTCGGGTGGAAGCTATAGATTGTGATGCAGCTCAGAAGAAAGAAGTTTTTCAGAACTCTCTGAAAAGTCTCTCCTCCCCACAAACACCCCATCTTTTGAGGCATGCGAGCAGAGAGCAGCCTTCTTGTGAGGGCGTGGTGGGCCGGATGGTGGCTCTCAGGGAGCCCTGCACTCATCACCAGGGCTCAGGGGTAGGGGGCTGCCTGCTGGTGCGGGGTGTGCAGCTGTGGGTGGCACAGGGTGCACAGGGCACCTTGGCCTCACACGTTCTATGCCTGTCTCTTCCGCTCCCCACCTTGGCAGGGCCCCTCACACCCCTTCTCTGCCCAGCCTGGCCCAGCACCTTGCTGCCCCTGCCTCCCTGAGCCCCTTTGACCAGCCCCCTGGCTCTTCCTTCTTCCTGCTGCATTTGGTGTCTCTCACCTCATCCCACCTGGACCAGAGTTGGCTCCCCTGCACGAGGTCTGCATCTCAGTCCTCCACGGAGGCTGAGAGTCCCCAGCTCAGTTTCTCTCCTTTCTCGGGGCAGCACAAGCCCCGTGGACCTGGTCACTGGTCACATCTGCTTTTCCCAAGGCGTATTAATGGCCCCATCCTCAACCCCCCCAAAATCCTCCTAGGTGCTCCCAGTGTGGCCTTTCCAGATTTCAGTGACAACTGGTGCAGTCCTGTCTGGAAGTTCTGCCTCGCTCTCTGCCTCTCTCTCCCAGGCGGTTACACCCACAGACAGATTCCCCTGTCCAGCTGCACGGGACAGAAGTGCCCGTCCTCTTCACTTTTTAAATCTTCCTCAACCTTCCAGGTGCAAATTCCCTGAATCCACCGAGGAGCAAATACTTCCACACGGTTACCCACCGTCCCTCCGCCATTTCAGACTCGCTTGCTTCTCAAGTCTTTGCTTGGTGTGTCCAGGGCTCCGTGGAAGAATTGTTGATCCTCCCCTGCCTGCATCCCCCACCTGGGTCTCCTTAGGCCGCTCCTGGGCCTGCTCCCCTCCACTCAGCTGGGCCCTCTCTCCCACCGGTTTTCCTTGGAATGTTCATGTGGTTCCTCCCAGGCCTCCAGTGTCTCTGGATTGGCTTGTATTATTCCTGCTGTGTTTTGGTTTGGGGTCCTGCCCATCTGAAGCTTCCCATCCCCTTGAAAATCTCCTGCAT